TCTTTGTTGTATTCTCGTTTACTAAACTTTTTCTTGTAAGGTGGTTTATTTCCTTTTCCTTTGTTTTTATTGTAATTATTGTTTTGATATCCTTTCTCTTTTCCTTTGTAATTGTTATTTTTTACAAAGTTTCTCTTGTCGTATTTTCTGTTAAAAGGGTGGAAAGCTGGTTTGTTTTTGCAATCTCATTGAAAGTGTCCTTTCTTTCCGCATTTGTAGCATTTGAGGTCGTTTGTCTTTACAACAACATAATCTTGTTTTGCTGAAAAGTGCATTTCTTTATGCTTCTGATTATTTTTCCAGTAGGGTTGTTTTTCATTATAAAAGTTCTCTTTCTTTTTGCCTTCAAATTGTTTTGCAAAGTCTCGTCCTACTATGCCTTGTTTGTAGGCTTTGTATATTTGTTCTACTTTAGTCCAAAAGTCTTGGTATGATGTTGGTTTTCCCATTAATTGGAGTTGGTAAGCATAGTCTTCATTAGGATGTCTTCCTTTAGGAAGTCGATCATGAGTTAATAATGCTCATCCTTGGTTCCATGCTTGGAGCATGTTTGCTTCTTTTTGTAATCTGTAGAATTCTTGTTTTATTTCATAAAATTCTCCTGTTTTGATATAATAGAATTAGAATTTGAAGTTTTCAAATAGTTTTTGAGCTGCTTCTTGGTGTTTGAAGGTTACATATGTATAGTGCATCCATAATATTATTGAACATTGTTTTGATGGTGCATCTCCAGAGTTTTGTCCATCAGGCCAATCAGCTTCAAAATTTCCTTGTCCTATTTTTTTCACTTTGGTTGTGTTCCATACTCTGTAATTTATATGGAGTGTGGTTGTAAAGTATTTTGTTATTTGTAATGAGTCGGCATTTCTGTTTCTTGATGTTGTTTCTGCGAATGCATTACAGGGTATTCTAGTGCTGTTGTTCCAGTCGCTAGGGAATATACATGTGAAGTGTTGTTCATTTTCTTCGTATTTGTCTTGTTGTAATCTGTTCTATGTTTGTATTACTGATTTTTTCCAGAGTTGTCGCATAAATACAATATTATATTGTCCTCTATATAAATTAGTAGCTCTTGGATTTGCTAGTATTTCTGCCATATCATCTATTCTAATATACCCTGAATTCTTGCTTCCAGAGAAGAATCCGGTTGTTAATAGTTGATAGGTACATAGCTTTGAATGTTTTTCATAAATGTGTCATAATATTTGGGCCAGTTTTCGCTATTAAATTTCATTCCTTCCATTACTTTAGTAAAGTCTATTTTGTCAATTGACGGAAATTCTGTTGTAGTTCCATTAAATGTTGCCATTTCGTTAGATTACAAAGTTAGGCGGGAATACAACAAAGAAGATCAAGAAAAATTCTCAAGAAACAGATATGATTCTAGGAGATAGGTAAAGAATCGTGAAAAAACTGAATATCATACTGACCAGCCAAAATACCAAAACCCAGCATATAACTGATTTATTGACAGACAAGTTAAAAGATCTATAACAAACCTACCGTTACCAAAATTACACATTGAAACTCATAGAAACTTCAGATCAAAGTATAACCCATCAGCACATAAAAATACATTCAAGAAATTTGACAACAAGCGCAAATTTGCACCATATTCAACTAACAAATTTGACAAGTTCTAAGAACGAAAAGATAAACTCTCTAAATTAGAATGCACACAATGTGGAAGCACATACCATATAGCACAAAACTGCCCTGTAAAACCTATGAAAATAGATCATACAGAAAAAGCCAGATATAAAGAATATAAAGAATACAAAAAATTCAGAAAAGAAATGAACTCATTAGAACAACAAACTAACGATCTCACTATTGAAGATCATGAAGAAGACCAATATTTTTAAAAAGGAGCCTGCAAGATACTCAGGACCAATTCCTAAAAAATAATACTATCGGCTATATTTCAGAGTATCATAATGTTTATAATGATCATAATAATTATAAATACAATTTATTAAAAAAATCATGTAATAATAAAGAAATATTTAACCAAAAGTACATTAATAAAATAAACAACGAATATATAAATAAAGTAAATAACTACTCTGCTACTAATGAACTAATCTGGACAAAAGAAACTAATAAAACACCACTACAAGCAAAAGGACCTAAAGCATTCTACTTCTTTGCACAAATAAACGGATTACCGTATAAAATAAAACTAGATGAAGGATCTACTAACACTACAATGGGAATATGACACTTCAAAGAACTAAAAGCAAAAACTAAACTAAAATACAAATACAAACCTGCTATAGCTAACACAGTGGGATCACAAGTAAAACTATTAGGAAAAGCAACCGTTGATATAAAAATAAATAACCTCTTATTCGAAAACATAAAAATAGACGTACTAAGCAAAGACTTTGACTATATCATATTCTCTAATAAACTCCAAAAACAACTTGGAATACTAAAAGACAATGATCAAGAGCTCATACTCATACACAACCGACCTATAACAAATCAGAGGAAGCTAACCTCTAAACAAAAATTGCCAGGTCATAGTGTATCTACTGCGGTTCACTCTAGCGAGATAATTTCAGACTTGAGCACGAGACCTGGTACACTAGTCCCTGACCTGCTTGTGAAACATTATTCACCTGCCGAGTATAACACAGTAGCGAGAAAAAGAGAGAAGGCGCCCAACCATAATAAATATCTACCAGACTCACAAAGTCTTAACAATTCCAACCAGGTAAACCAACCATTACAACGAAAGAAGGCAAGGCCCAATTGAACACATAATTCTCTCAGCAAACAAGATGAGCTTGATCAAGTAATCAGACAATCTATAGAATTATTTGCAAAAATTAAGAAACAAAAACAACACTACCACACCCCTGAAAAGAGAGAAGGCATACAACAGAATTACAAGCCCATGCTTACACCATTAATACAACCTGCACCTGATAACAACCTATACAATATATTCCTTTGACAATGTAGAATAAACCAGAAATGAATGAAATATATTGGAGTCACAACTGACGGAACAGCAGAACATATAATAAATGCTGTAATAAAAACTGGAAGTAATATTATACAAATATTTATGACCTATATACCTACCAAACAATCATACTCTGATGAGATGATGAAGAACTGGATAACATTAAAAGAAGGCAAACCTAATTTAACAAATGATTATACACTAATCAAAGCACTTGAAGGATATAACAATGATGTACCGCAATTAAAAATAGTAATACATGCTTCAATGGGATTGTCAATAAATGACAACTTTTGACAATAATGGAAATATTAACTGGAAAGTCACCAGAATAATACAAGAAATAAAGCGCGCAAAACAAATAGGAAGCAAAGTATATGTATTACATGTAGGTACAAGTAATAATACAGGTAATAATAAATCACATGATAAACAACAAATCAAACTAAACCTCAAGGAAATACTTAGACGAACACAGGACACACAAGTAATGGTATTGCTTGAAAACTCAGCATCAAATAAATGCTATGGAGCTCAGATAGACAAGCTAATAAAAATAAAGAAAAGTATAAAAAAGGAATTACAAGAAGAAAGGAGGGAAAAAAACTCTTTCCGTCAATCACTTACACAAAACTTAACTAAAAATTCGCCAGTATAAAATCCTTAATAACTCAATATT